TCTCAGACTGTAACTACCCGGCTCTGTGGGTTTGGCGGTAGAAGGATGGGAAGTCAACTTCCCTGAGATCAGACAGTCTCCACTTGTCCGTAGCTCAGCACCCGCCTGGCCTTGGGCAACGGCCCTGGTTTTAGACCTTGACTACGCGTGGTTCAAAGTGCGGGTTTGTGGGTAGTTTCTCTCAGGGCAATGAAACTCCAGCAGTTCCCTATCTATTCTGCCATCTAACAGGCAAGCTGTTGACAATATCGAACTTTACCTGAGCCCTGTGCACCCAGAAAACCGCCGTGGTGAAGAAATCCCCCCAACCTTTTGTTTTCTGAAAAGCTGTGTTCTAGGAAACAGCTTACCTCAAAGAATTACCTTTCCCCATGTGACTTAGATCACTCCCCATTCTTTCTCAGGACTCCCTTGTTTACCTGTGGCAAGGCCAGACACAGACCCTGAACCTGGTGAGATTAGAAATGTTTGTCTCAGGCGCCTGGGTGGCTCAGTTGGTTGAGCAACTGCCTTTGGCTCAGGTCATGATCCTGGAGTCCCGGGATCAAGTCCCGCATCGGGCTCCCTGCTCAGCGGGGAGTCTGCTTCTCCCTCTGACCCTCCTCCCTCTCATGCTCTCTGTCGCTCATTCTCTCTCTCTTGCAAATAAATAAAATCTTAAAAAATAAATAAAGTTAAACCTTCATTAAAAATAAAAAAAGAAAAGAAATGTTTGTCTCCCTGAAACCACAAAGAAAAACTTTTGCTGGTCAGACAACTGAGACTTCCCCCTACTGACAATCTCATCTGCAACTTGTTTACCCCTCACTATAAAAGTGTGAGGCTGACCCATTCTGCTGAGACACTCAGATCTTTGGATCTGGGGTGCTCTCCCTGTTGCAACAGGCTACATAAAATCTCCTTACCTGTCCAGTGCATTTTATCTTTGACCCTGGGCTACCTCCTGCTCCGGGCCAAAGCCACCACCCCACACATCACCATTCCAAACCACCCCCTTTACCCCATCGCCATACTTTTCTCCACTTTTCCTCTCTAACCCTACCAGGTTGATCTTGGAAGTTCACATCTTGATTAGTGTCACCTCAAACAGAAAAAAAAAAAAAAAATTAACATCCAGCCATCAGACCAACTCTTGCTAGGCTGATCACCCTGAATAAATCAGTTTAGAAGAGAATAATCATTAAAAATAAATGCAATACCTCTCTGTCAGCCTCCCCGTCTCAAGGACACAAGTTCTGGAAATCACTATTAGAAGGGGCCATGGGTCAAGCACATTCTAGTTTTTGCTCCCAGAAAAGTTTCCCATGCCCTCATGAAGATTTTATTCTAAGGATAGGCAGATGAAGACACAGTACACCAGATATGTAATATATAACATGACAGGTATTAAATATGAAGGAAAATGGGAAGGGGGAAGCCACAGTGTCTGTAGGCAGGCTAAGACTAAACCTCTACGTTACATTTTTAAAGACTAAATCTATAGGGGGGAAAAAGACTATAGACTTAAAAAGACTGAAAAGATATATCACCCAAACATCATGTGGACTTTATCTAGATCCTGATTTAAGTAAACAGCTTATGGGATGACTGGAAATTTGAGCCCCGACTAGATATTGGATATCTAGTTCAATATCTAATCAAAGAACAATATCAAATCAAAGAACAAAATTAAGTTCTTTGCATGTGCTAAAATGATGTTGTGGTTATATTTTATACTTTGGAAGTAAATGCTGAACTATTTGCAGAAGGAGTGATGTGATGTTGGTGATTTGCTTCCAAGAAATACAGAAGGAGGGGCGCCTGGGTGGCTCAGTCGTTAAGCGTCTGCCTTCGGCTCAGGTCATGATCC